GTGTCCAGTTAGGGTGTAGGGGAGTGTAGGTAAGTGTCCAGTTATGGTGTGGGGTAGTGTAGGTAAGTGTCCAGTTAGGGTGTGGGGTAGTGCAAGTGCCTGAAGCTATGGTGTGGGGAGTGGTAGGTAAGTGTCCAGTTATGGTGTGGGGGGGAGGAAGGTAAGTGTCCAGTTAGGGTGTGTGGGGGAGTGTAGGTAAGTGTCCAGTTAGGGTGTGGGGGGAGAAGGCAAGTGTCCAGTTAGGGTGTGGGGGGAGGAAGGCAAGTGTCCAGTTAGGGGTGTGGGGGAGTGAAGGTAAGGTCCAAAGCTAGGGTGTGGGGAGTGGGAGGTAAGTGTCCAGTTAGGGGTGGGGAGGAAGGTGGGTGTCCAGTTAGGGTGTGGGGAGGAAGGTAAGTGTCCAGTTAGGGGGTGTGTGGGGGGAGTGAAGGTAAGTGTCCAAAGTTAGGGTGTGGGGAGCAGTGTAAGTGTCCAGTTAGGGTGTGTGGGGAGGGAGAGGTAAGGTCCAGTTAGGGTGTGGGGAGTGTAGGTAAGTGTCCAGTTAGGGTGTGGGGAGTGAAGGTAAGTGTCCAGTTAGGTGTGGGGAGTGAAGTAAGTGTCCAGTTAGGGTGGGGGGAGGAAGGTAAGTGTCCAGTTAGGGTGTGGGGGAGGAAGGTAAGTGTCCAGTTAGGGTGTGGGGGAGTGAAGGTAAGTGTCCAGTTAGGGTGTGGGGGAGTGTAGTTAAGTGTCCAGTTAAGGTGTAGGGGAGTGTAGTTAGACGCACCAACTCCTGGCCGCCAACACCAGTAATAATTCTCTTTATACTTAACAAACGTCATCAAATATTCAAGAGACACGACCCGGGTGTGTGTATACCTCGGGGCTTATACCTTGTTGTGCTGATAATACAGGGAGGGTATGTATTATGTATATATATATATATATATATATATATATATATATATATATATATATATATATATATATATATATATATATATATATATACAGGTATAAAACTACATAATGGATGTATCGCGCAGATCGGGTCTCAGGTGAGGTAACTAGTTTGTGGTTTTGGGCGGCAGGTAACGCGAGGAATGCCAGCCAGCGCCTCAACATGCAAATACTCTTCAGGGAGATTCATGTTTCATACCAGTCATGTTGTGAGGTGGCGGACAAACAGAGGCGGGTACTTACACCTGGGATTAGTGGGACGTGTATGTGTAAACGGACGTGTGATTGGACGTGTGTGTTTATTTGCATATGTATATATATATATATATATATATATATATATATATATATATATATATATATATATATATATATATATATATATATATATATATATATATATATATATGCAAATAAAGATTTGCGAACAATAAGTAAAACAAAATATTAGACAAAAACATTAATAAACAATAATGAAAACAGTAAGTGGGGAAAAAACAGAAATCCAAATATAAAACCTTCGATTTATGAAAGTTCTTAACAAGACACCTGAGAACTAGAGACCTTGTGCAATATGGCGTCGAAAATACCCTGTGACTGTACCTGAACCAGCTACACCTTCTCCTTATTAGATAATTGTTTTAACCTCCGTATCTTTAGTGTTCAGGGCGAAGGGTCATATCTCATCATGGGTACCCGGAGTCAATACTTGTTAACACATGGGCGTGACTGTGGGCGTGATCGTGGGTGTGGGCGTGATTATAAACATTCAATTTCGTATGAGGGACTTAACTCTGGAGATCCTTGAGTGAACAGGGAAAAGGTGGCAGCTCATATTCACGATGTTGAGGTATAGTTTTGAGAGAACGTCATCTATACCTCCATGCCCAGAGTGCCCGGTGGGTAGGTAAGGTGTGGTGCCCCCTAAATAGCAGCAGAACCTAACCTAACCTAACCCTTAGCATACAGCTCGGGTAGGGGCCTATTAGAACTGGGGCCCATCTGACCAGCCAGCATTTAGTAAAAAGTATAGGTTTGAGTTGCAAGTTAGGCCAGGTCAAGTCAAGTCAGGTTAGGTTAGGTTACGTTAGATCAGTTTAGGAGGTTAAGTTAGGTCTTATCAGATTAGGTTAGACCAGGTTACGTTTAGTTAGGACAGAGCAGGTGAGGGTCTATTATAATTAGACCCTACTAATATTGACGTCCATTTGACCTGTAATCAAGAAATCCTAAACCCCCCTCCCTCTCCCACCTCCCCCTTCCCTCCCTTCCCCTCTCTTCTCCCTTCCCTACCTGCTTCACCCCCCCACACCCCCCTCCCTCTCTACCTGAACTGCAGGTTTAAGATGCAGGTTATGAGGCCATACATTATCCCTCGTGTTGTGTTTACACTCGGCTTGGTCGTGTTCCTACATCACATCTTGGTCCTGCCCTCCCCGCCGCCCTCCCTCGCCGCCCTCGCCGCCCCCTCCACGCCGCCTCCTGCTGCCTCCCCTCGCCATCCTTCTTCCCGCTGCCCTCCCCGCCATCCTTTCTTCCTTCCGCCTCCCTCACAAGCATCCTCCCCGCCGCCCTCTCCCTCGCCGCCTCCCTCCCCGCCGCCCTCCCCCGCCGCCTCGCTGCCCTCCCCACACGCCCTTCCCTCAAGCGTTTCCTCCCCGCCATCCTCTTCCCCGCTCCCTCCCCCGCCATCCTCCCTGCCGCCCTCCTCCCCACCACCCTCCCAATGATACCTGACCCATGCAGGTTAGGCACCTCCTCCTGACGCTCTCTGTGGGGTTCCTCGTACTTGATAAGGACATTCTACACGTTAAAGTCATCCTACACTCGATAAGGACATTCTGTACTCGATTAGGACATTCTCCTCTCGATTAGGACATCCTACACTCGATTAGGACATTCTCCTCTCCATTAGGACATTCTCTATCCGAGTATGTCGTGTAACTCGTATTGTTTTTGGAGACGTCATGCTATCTTATGGGGTGTCCTATTTACTCTTGGGTAGAGGAGGCACTGTTGGGTAGAGGAGGCACTGTAGGGTAGAGGAGGCACTGTAGGGTAGAGGAGGCACTGTAGGGTAGAGGAGGCACTGTAGGGTAGAGGAGGCACTGTAGGGTAGAGGAGGCACTGTAGGGTAGAGGAGGCACTGTAGTAGGAGGAGGCACTGTAAGGTAGGAGGAGGCACTGTAGGGTAGGAGGAGGCACTGTAGGTAAAGGAGGCACTGTTGGGTAGAGGAGGCACTGTAGGTGGAGGAGACACTGTAGGGTAGAGGGAGTGACACTGTAGTGGTAGAGGGAGGCACTGTAGGGTAGAGGAGGCACTGTAGGGTAGAGGAGACACTGTAGGGTAGAGGGAGGCACTGTAGGGGTAGAGGGAGGCACTGTAGGGTAGAGGAGGCACTGTAGGGTAGGAGGAGGCACCGTAGGGTAGAGGGGCACCTCGTAGGGTAGAGGAGGCACTGTAGGGTAGAGGGGGGGCACCAGGGTAGAGGAGGCACTGTAGGGTAGAGGGGGCACTGTAGGGTGGAGGGGGGCACTGTAGTGTGGGAGGGGGCACTGTAGGGTGGAGGGGCACTGCACCAAGGTGGGCAGGGCAAATGAGTGATGCAGGGCACTTGTGGGTTGGGTAAGGGGGGGGGGTATACGTGCCAGATCACTCGGGGCAGCACACTATGACGTGGTTAGGTCAGAGGTCAACAAGGACTATTCCCTGAGGTCCTGGCCCTCCTGAACTCACTATCCTTAGGTCAACCACCACTGTTGATTTAGGGGTTAGGGCCACCAAGGACCTTATTTACTCGCCCTATGATCAGAAGATAAACACTGGAGGTTTATGTCGGAAATAATTAGTACAGAATGACGTATAGAATGTACAGGTACAGTAATTTACATGAGAATTCAGTATCTTATAACAAGTACAGAATAACATAGAAAGTACAGGTACAGTAATTCCCGTCTGGTTACAGTATTCCAGGATTATGAAAGTGATGCTGTAACCTTGATGGGAAAAGACAAGTCAGTATTAACAGACAAAAAGATTAAATCACTTCAGTATTGTATCTTCTTTGTCGTAATACCTCCATTTAACGGACATCAATCTAACGTGCATAGTCCGTTATATGGAGGTTTCACATCTAACGAACCTCTCGATATAACGGACACCGAACTCCCATCAAGTCCGTTAAACAGAGATCTCACTGTACTTTCATAAGGAGATAATCTACAGTGGTGTTGTAAGAGATGATCACAGATGTATGTTGTGTCATATAGATAACACTGCCATGGCGGGAGCTCTTTGAGGATGGGAGCACCTCTTCATAAGCCCTTGATAATCCCACGTAGATTTACCTGTAGTTAAACACACCTGGAGTATGATTTGGTACAGGTGTATGGAGATGGTAGTGAGGGGAGGCTTATACTACTGTGATAGAGAACCATGTGATATACTCCACCATGATGGAAGAGGAGAAAGAGGAGGAGGTCTTTTGCTATGGGAGGGATGGAGGAACAAAGGACACCTCTACCGCAGGAAGGAAAGATGGAAGGAGTCCTTTTCCTTATCATGGGAGGGAGGTCGGGAGAACGGATATCCTTCTCACTCCCTAAAGAGAGGAAAAGTAAGAAGGATCCCCCCCCCTACTGTGGCAGGTGGGGAGGAGAAAAGACACCTTCCCCTCCCCCCCCCACCGTGGCAAGAGGATGTGGGGGGCACCCTTACCCACTGTCCCCCCATCGTATCAGGTGGGGGAAAGAGACAGGACACCTACTGTACTCCGTCAGGCTGACAGAGGAGTAGGCATAATTAGTAGGGGGTGTGACAGGGGTGTGTGTGGAGGCGTAGGCGTGATGGAGGCGTCGGGGCGTGGGGGGCGTGATGGAGCGTCGGGGCGTGTGTGGGCGTGATGGAACCGTATGGTGGGGGTGGGCGTCGGAGTGTGTGGCGTGCGTCGGGGTGTGTGTGGGCGTGATGTAGGCGTCGGGGTGTGTGTGGGCGTGATGGAGGCGTCGTGGTGTGTGTGTGGGCGTGATGGAGGCGTCATGTGGTGTGACTGGGGTGAGTGTGGGCGTCATGGAAGCGTCGGGGGGTATATGGACGTGGTGAAGGCGTCTGAGGTGCGTGTGGGCGTGGTGGAGGCGTCGGGGTGGGCGTGATGGAGGTGTCTGGGGTGCGTGTGGCGGTGGAGGCGTCGGGGGTGCGTGGGGCATGGTGGAGGCGTCTGGGGTATGTGGGCGTGTTGGGGCGTCGGGGGTGCGTGGGGCGTGATGGAGGTGTCTGAGGTGCGTGTGGGGATGGAGGCATTGGGCGTGGTGGAGTCGTCTGGGGTGCGTGTGGGCGTGATGGAGGCATTGGGCGTGGTGAGTCGTCTGGGGTGCGTGGGCGTGATGGAGGCGTTGGGGTGAGTGGGCGTGATGGAGGCGTCGGGGGTGCGTGTGGCGTGACGGGGTGACGTGGGCAGCGGTGAGGTCCGATATACCTTCTCTTACACCATAACGCCGGGAACACCCACCTGGCCCGGCCCGCTGACTGACACACCTCACCCCCCCCCCTGCCCCCCCCTTTCTGTAGGCCTCACTCCACACACACACACACACCTAACTACATAAAATACAGCCGCCACACACACACACACACCTAACTAAATAAAATACAGTCACCACACACATACACACACACACACACCTAACTACATAAAATACAGCCACCACAGTCTGTAATACAAAGCTTCAGGACGTATTTCATAAGCGTAAATTCTCTGGTCCTCCAATTTCATTACCACTTTTTCCCCGGCCTGGTGATGCTCGATGTAAAATTCCTCTTTAATTGTCATTTATCATCAGTTTTTGTGGGTGGTGTTTGCCAGGCCAACACTCGGGGTAATACCAGGCTTGTTTTACCTCAAATATCACCATTACTAAACTGGGCTCTGGTGTGGTGGTAGTGGTGATGATGGTAATAATAATAATGAAAATGATGTTAATAAATATAATAATAATAATAATAAAAATGATAATAATAATAATAATAATAATAATAATAATAATAATAATAATAATAATAATAATAATAATAATAATAATAATAATAATAATAATATCAGTCACAAAATATACCCACTATAAAATACTAGTCAGATCCATATACAGTTTTATTATCTGACACTTACTGTAAAACCTAACTAACGTAAACTAACCTAACCTAACTTTATCTAATTTAACCAAACCTAACCTTGCCTACCCTAACCCTATCTAAGCTAACCTAACTTACCCTAACCTTACTTAACCTAACCTACGCTAATCTAACCTTACTCAATCTAACCTAACCTAACCAAACCAAACCTAAGCCATCCTAACCTAACCTAACAACCTAAAAGTTAGATGCTCTTAATTACTACATTTCTACATTTCGTTGTTTAATACTCACTTTCCAACACAAAGGTGAACCGTCCTAAAAAAAAAAAAGAAATCATAAGTTTTTGTTAATTTCCAGCGACGAAATTGGGAAACACGCTAATCATGTCTCTGAGTTGAAAAACGTTGACAGATGCCGCTACAAAAATTAAGAGTTAAAATTCACAAAGTCTCTTACCGACAATATTCCCCCATAAATGATGATATATGAGTAATTTCCACTCCTCTTCTCCCTGTGCCTCTTCCTCTGGCTCGCCCGCGCTCCTGGCCCGCTCTTGCCAGGGGCTTCTCAATGCACCACCCCCAGTTTGTGCTCTCGACAGTTGCTACTTAAAGCAGCTGATTGCTGTCTTGATCATAATACTTAGTGTAAAAAAAAATAGTGAGTTTAATGTTTTTCACTGTATTACGTCAGCTTAGACTCCTGCTTTCCCTGACTTGTTTGTATATGAAGCGGGTTAGTTAAAAAAGTATAAAAGTAAAAGTTAGATGGGCTTTCATACCTCAAGTGATTTTTTTTATTCGAATTATTGTATTTTAATTATCCAAGTCCAGCTTCGATAAATGTAATGGTCACTGATAAAACAAATACCAGGAAGAAACATTTTTTTTATCAGATTAACCTAACCTGTCCTGATCCAACCCACCTCAACGAAATCAAACCAAACGAAAACCTACAATAATCCTGGTTGGTTCGTGTCCCCTGGGAAGAAAAAGAAGAACGGTTTCTCAGGTTATGTTGGTGGTAATTGTTTAACATTGGGTATTTTACTCACACGAGCGTACAAATCGAATGGGAAAGTTTCATGTGTTGACGTCTGCGGTCGTGATATGCCCGAGGAAGAGATGGGGGGGTGTTAGTCGACCCACAGGTAGCTATAACAATAATACCAGGTTAATGTGAGATGCGCTCCCCGACGTCTGTGATGAGCTGTAAATTGGTAATCACAACAGTGGCGTTCCAGGTGGTAATATTCTGTCTGCTTCCCAGTTTGTTTGTATGAGGTGAAGAGCGTGATGCTGGGGTGGTACCTGGGATCTCCTGTTTTTGCCTCGTCTGTTTACTTGAGGATTAATGAACGGTAGTCTTAGAGGTGGATTTCTATGTAATTATATTATTTTTGAGTTTGATGGATCATAGCAGGTTTTGCCTTTTCATTTTTATTTTTATTTTTTATAGATTATAGCAGTTTTTTTACGTGATTTTTGGAGTGCGTTAGATAGCAGTAGGATCACATATTTTTTCTTCAGCTTTACTAACAATTTCATTTTATTTATTTTATTTACGAAGATTTTGTTATGAATGTTTTTTGTTTTTTCTTAATAATCAACAACATCGGATTTATATAAGAAATATTTTATAGTTTTATCCACATCGGTTTTCTTATAAGTATTTTTTGGGGGGTTAAATCAATATCAATATCGGGGTTATATTTTCGGTCAACACTATCGTTTCCATGTGAATATATTTGCAGTTTGGTCGACAACAGCAGATGTCCGCAGGAATCTTTCAGTGTGTTGTTGTTGTTATTATTATTATTATTATTATTATTATTATTATTATTATTATTATTATTATTATTATTATTATTATTATTATTATTATTATTATTGTTGTTGTTGTTGTTGTTGTTGTTGTTGTTGTTGTTGTTTTTTGTTTTTTTGTTATTATTATTATTATTATTAATAGTGCTGTTGTTGTTATAATTATTACTATTATTATTATTATTATTATTATTATTATTATTATTATTATTATTGTAGACAATTATTATACGCTAAGTTTATAAGGAATGAAGTAGACTATAACAATGTGATGAATATTCTGAAAGTGAGAGAGAAAGAGAGAGATAGAGGGGTGGGTGGGAAGAAGAGAGGGAAAAATGAAGCCAAGAGAAGAACAACAAAGAAATGAAGGAAATAACAAGGACAAATGAAAATAAAGTAGGAATGTAATGAATGAAAAACAGCAGTAAGTAAATGGACTGTGGTCTGTCAGCTGATAAACCACAAATCGTCAGCAAATAAACTCCAAACTGCATCAACAAACGAACTACAAACCACCATACACCTAAACCATAATAAACCAACATCAGCAAACATATGAAACCGTCAGCACAACCCATCCTGAACTACGATCTGTCAGCCAAACTTGACTGCGAACTGTCAGCAGCAGCGGAATTATAAGAACTGACGCAACCCTTTTTATCCATCCTTACCTGAAATTGGAATTGTGTTTGGCGCGCTAAATCGATGTAGTTTTTCGGGGCAAGTGGCGGTGTGAAAAATGGTGATTTGCCTGAGCATTTTTACCTGTCAGCTTGTCAACATCCCGGCTGGTCCCTGGAGGCCGGTTGTAGAAGGTCAGAGGCTGAGAAATTTTAATATCCGGCTAGTGTGGTGTGGTGGTGTGTGGTGGCGTGTGGTGTAGTGTGGTGTGGTGGGGTGTAGTGTGGTGGGGTGTAGTGTAGTTTAAACCTACCGTGTGTGTTAAGTGTTTAAGTGAATAGGTCTGTGTTTGTGTATGTGTGGTAGTACTATTATTATTACCTTGTATTTCAACTACTGTTAGTACTACTGCTGCTGCTACTGTTGTTTCTGCTACTATTACTTCTACAATTACTACTACAACTACACTCACTACCCTTACCACCACTACAACCGCCAAACTCACCACCACTACAACCACACCTTCTACCACCACCACCACCACCACTACAGCCACACCCTCTACCACCACCACCACAGCAGACAGCGGGTGATCTAGCGGTGGTCGTAGCTAACAATTTCTCCCTCGGGAGTTAAATGGAGCAAGACTTGATTCCCAGTTTCATAAAGTTGGTTTGTTCTTTAAGTCTGGACAATAGCTTTATGTTCTATCGTACCCCACACACCACCTCCTCCTCCTCCTCCTTCTTCTCCTCCTCCTCTATTACTCTATGTACTTTCTATATTCCTCCATTTATTTCTTCATTATTATATGTACCTTCTATTAGGCTATGTATTTTTTTCAGTATTTCTATGTTTTGTCGATTTTTATCTTATTTAAATTTTTTGCCACTTACAGCGGCTAGTTTATTGTGCACCCCATGCTCATCCTGTGGGCAGTAGCGCAAAAGGATTACAGAGTAGAGTTCACAAAGGGTCTGTATAACTAACAACGGTAATAACAATAATAATAATAATAATAATAATAATAATAATAATAATAATGTTGGTGATGAGTGGTTGGATGGATATGTGAGGGTGGGTGTGTGGGGGTGTGGAGGTGGGTGGGTGTGTGGAGGTGGGTGGGTGTGTGGGGGTTGGTGGGTTGATGGGCTATAATGTAGGGTTGGAAAAGTAAAACTAACTGGACAAAAGGGAGGCATACACCCACACCACCAACCACCTACCATCCCACCTCCACCCACCCCGCCCACCCCGCTAACCCACACCGCCCACCCCGCTAACCCACACCAACCATCCCGCCCACTCACACCACCCACCCCACCACCTACCTCCACCACCTACCCCTACCACCTACCTCCACCACCCACCCCGCCCACCTACACCACCCACCACGCCCACCTACACCACCCACCTCACCCACCCCCACCACCCACCCCGCCCACCCACACTACCCTCAGGACACCCCACAAAGCCGCTTAGGTGTGCTGGGCGGCGTTGAGTCACAGCATCAAACAGTGTGACGACCTTTCATCCTGCCGCGGGACCTCAGAGACTACTAACTGCTCAAGTAATCCCCAGTCTTAGTGGGGCCCTGTCCTAGTGGGCCCCATTCCCAATAGGCCACAATTCTAAGGGCCCTAGTTCGAATGGGTCCTATTCTTAATGAACTCACTCCTAATGGGTAGATGAAGTTAGGTTAGGTTAGGGACCTTTAGAACTGAGTCCCATTAGAGCCGCGGTCCTCAGAGAGTCGCTGCCTGCAGATTAAAGGATAAACTGGCGACGGTGAAGCCCCAGGATCCAGGGGCGTCTCGGGCGGCGGCGACACGTAGATAAGGTTACAGAGGCTGCCTGTACCACTGTAATCGCAGGTGACATTGCACTTGTCCGGCTTGTGTTGGGAGAAGGGCGTGTGTCCGCCTGTGTGGGGAGGAGCAGAAGGGGTGTAAGTAGAGTGGGGCGTGGGAGGGAGCAGAGGGAAGTGGGTGTGTGGAGTGTGGTGGTCATAGGAGGGAGGAAATTGAATTTTAATTTTTTTCTGTAGACAGTGGCTAGTTTATTGTATACCCGATACTCATCTTGTCAGGAGTAACGCAAAAAAAGGATTACAGAGTAGAGGTCACAAAGGGTGTTTTATCAGGCCTCAGTGGTCAGGATGTTGTAGTGTAGAATGTTACTGAGTATTTCCAGGACTTTGTTTGTTTAGTTCTGTTCATAGAAGTTGGCTTAGCTACTTGGAGGGGGTGGG